TGTGCTAAGCGTCTCGTTTCTTGAAGCCACGTTTCGATACAGATAGTAGTAGTACCGTGAAAGAGTCTGTTCTTGTAGGCCTACACGCGAAGATATTGAAGAATTTTTGTTGTAAGCACCCACTTACGACCGAATACGATCGGTTGCTTGTCATAAGACAGGATGGCTGATAGTCCTCAAAAGCGTTAGAATGACGTAAAAAGAGGCTCCATGATATGACAAGTGGAGGTGGTCATGAGTGTTCTGCCGCGATGTGCTTCGTCGATTCTTTCAAGTGGGCGACCTCTAGCGGGACTGAGTCTGAGTGTTCGTCGATGGGTCGACTTCAAGTTGAACGTTACACGTGTGGTTTCTCTTTGTCCCAATCCATTTGCTTCAATTTGATATCTGCTGGTATCATTCTGGATCATATCGCTGCATCATTATTTCTTATGTGACTTAAATACTTAATACAATAATTCTTGCCATTGCTGCTCCACTCCTGTGAAATGTCACATCCACGACCTATGATTAATTCACAACGTCAACACAGTATTTGTTTTTGTGTATGTTTTGATTATTTTTGGTGATTTGAAAAGATGGAAAGCGACATTGTCAAGGACGCGGCTGTTTCGTGCACGGGCGGTGATTGTGATAATATTGACGAAGGACGGCATGATATTGAAGTTACAGAGTCCCTGAACGAACAAAATTTCAGTAGTAAGGCGGACCCCTCGACGACGTCGGAGCAAGATGTGTCCGAACATTATGAGTTTCGATTTTTGATTGATGAGTAAAAGGCCTTGATCATGTCCAAGTCGCTTCTTATTTCTGAGTAATTGCACTTAGCTTGTTCTCTCATCAGCAACAGTCCTCCTCTAAAAAGCACAAGAAGAGCCTGAAAATAAGACCAGTGCAGCACCACGCGCAGACGAAGAGAAAGCCTCATTCTCCGAAGGTGGTTCCCCAGTAAGAAGGAGAGACGAGCCTGTGTCTCTCCCGGTAGCGGCCCAACTGAAAGCGCCGCTTTCAGCAAGCTCACAGGAGCTAACTGGGCGAGTCAAACTTAAAACAGTACATAAAGATGCTAATTCATCTTCCAATTTCCTTGTTTTATTCCCTTCAAGCAAAATACTGGAGTTGCTCTTCCGAAGATGATGAAAAAACAAGAACAATGTTACCGAAAATTTTTCTGAACATTTATAATAGATAATATCTATCTATCTATCTATCTATCTATCATTCCGTACTCACTGACAGACGAGTGAAGCTGCAGCAACGCAGAGTAAAGTTGCGCCGGTAACCGATTTCTCTCAAGTAGACGAGAGCCACCCGATCAGAGATGTGTGCGAACATTATGTGAGTTTCGATTTTTCACACTAAAAGGCCATGTCCAATGATGTAGGCTCGTCCGTTTCAAAAGGAGAGTATTTTTTTTTTACATTATGTGAGAACAAAATTATAGAACTACACGACTGACTTCATGCAATTTGATCTTTTTTTTTAATATTGAGATCAGGGAAGTGGGCATAGAACAGAATTACACCTGTTCCCTCTAAGAAGCACAAGAGGAGCTCGAAAATTTTTCCGGTATATCTTCCTCTCCTTCAAGTATAGCTTCCTCACCTCCGGTAGATGCGTTATGGTCGGCTGTTATTCATCTCGCTCAGCATCTTGGTTCTTTTTCCCGTAAAGTGCAATGGAAAGAGGGTCGAGATGGGATGGCCGAGATGAATAAGAGCACTCTTCAAATCTGGCCTGCTGTATTTCTCCACTAAGGAGGGTGAGCGAGATTGTGCTTCGTTCGGTAGGAGCTGAACTGAGAGAGCCCCTTCCAGCAAGTTCACAGAAGCAAGACCAGACTCTTACCCGCCGAATCAAAAATATTGAAAAAGTACATCATCAACTACTCCTTACTTTTACAGATTTAATAGACTCCATTATAGTTTGATGATACCTACGAGAACTCCTGACGATGTTAGTCGGTTCGGATTGGACCTACGACTTCCCTGAATCTTCTTTGAGTTCTACGAATTTCTCTGCTGTTGAAGTTGTGAGGGCGCCCCACGGTAGACGTAGATTAGGAGTTCTCGCACGCATAGAATATAATTGGTTTTACTCGAGCATGATCCGTGATTTGAATGACACTAAAAATACTCTACAGGAGGAGAAAAACGACGGCAATTACGGTGCGGCGGGATCGTCATCCACCAGGTCATCTTCGTCCTCCGGATCTTCATTTTTATGTCCTCTCGTAGCGCGATACTTTTTGAGCGTGTGTCAAAGAAAGTCTCTGCAATGAGTATTTTTTAGCGTACTTCCCTGTAACCTTGTTCTGCATGTTTGTTGTGCTCTTCTGGGTCTCTCTTATAGCTATAGGTAATGCATCCTTTTTTCTTGATGGTGCATTCCCATTCCCCGTCCAGAAAGAGAAAGAATGCAAACGCGTAGATGCTGATGAGGATTTATTTACAGAATTTGCAATACAAATGATCTTCCTGTGATAGGTGTACTAGTTTGCTGGAATGCGCAACGTCAGCAGGTATAATCGCTCCTCTAGTTTTTAATCGCACCTCTAGATTTCGTAGACTAATGCTGCGCTCTTTCGCACTGTTCTACCTGCTTCAGAGCTGATTTGCAAATTAAACAGTTCTAATGCTCGATGCTTCATCGGGAGACGGATCCTCCAATTTTTCTTTATAAATATCGACTTTTAGAATCGATATGATTTTTGTCTTTCAAGACGCAAGAAAGTTTTCTCTTGTTTTTTTCGGTAGTGTAAAGCATGCAAGTAAAAATATGCGGTCGTTTGGAATTTTTGAGCAGTACCTTCTGACTTTCATCAGAGCAAACCAACGGCTTTGTGGATGGCGTCATTCTCAACAGACACACAGCTTGTTGAATGGGGTTTAGAAGGCCTCAGACTCAATCTCTAACGTATGAAAAAACGGGAGAGCCATATGTTAATCCTTGCAGGAGTGCTGGGTCCCTAGCCCTAGGTGTGGCCTTCCTCGTGGGAGCCTTGCTCGTGTCCGTCGGATGGTCGCAATGGGATGCGCCAGAACCGAGAATAGCTAGGGGAAATCAAAACTTTTTATACAATTAGTTTGCCCCTAGCAGGCACTCGACCGGATAAATTCGCCCACTGTAGTTGAGACCTCCAAGTTTATAGCTAAGCTATAGGGTGAATTACAAGTAGAGACGTGAAGATGACGAGTAGGATGGGCATGATAGAAGATGACAGACGCGATCGAGGAAATAAGAGGAAGAGCCCTTTTTTGAATAAAGTGATGATCCACCCAATCCTGAACAACGTCAGGCACACATTTAAAGTTAGAGGACATTCTAACAAAAACTCGAGGAGAAAAATGAACGGTGCAAAAGAGTGGAAGCAGGGGATGCGGGGTGACGAACTAGAAGAGCCGTTAGCTGAGCCACATCCGGCGCCATCGTCGTTATGTTGGGAGTACGAGCACCAGTTCTCATAGTTAATTCCCAGTGGTAGTGAAGTAAGAAGATGTCTTGGACGTACTACACTTCTTGCTTTTAGTACTCAGTTTCGTAACGATGAAGCATTATACTTATTAATTTCATGATGCACACTTTAAGAATCGAGGCAAGTCTTAATTTTGATACATTTAGTACTCTTAGCTGCAAAGAGATTCCACCTCGTCAGGTGCTGGCTTAAGAGGAGGCTGCTTCCTCTCGTCTATTAAATAAACACTTGAACATCCTTCCCCTTTTCTCCCTTTGTTGGACTCACCCCCAAACTGGGTAGACTACTAGCGACTGCCGGTACTGAAGTCGCAGGGTAATCGCTAATATCATCGTACACGGAGCGGCAATCAGCAAATAACGTCAAGAACAGTAACTACTTGCTCTACCAGGAAGTGCCAGGAAGTTATGGGCTCATTTCTCGCATGGGTTTCCACCAAACGTCGCTCATCAAAAAGTAGCAGGTCGCTAACTTAAAAAGCCAGTGCGATGGTCCAGCACTGCGAAGCAATTCGATGCCCATGCTGAACCTGAATCAATTCGGTAGAGATTCCTACTTAAAAAGAACTGATACTTATAAGAATGTCTACCCGAGACCTCTCTACTTGTAGCTTTTTCCCCCAAACTAGTACCCGTGATCCACAACCCTTGACGTTGACTTCTAACAAGAAGATACGCAAGCAAAAGGAAAAAACTGGAGAAACTTTATGAAACGCGATGATGCGTGGGAGTTCGAGCAAAAGTACTATCCGGCAAAGGCCTATTTGCCTGCTACTGCTTCCGGCGAAACCAGTACCGGGATTTTTTTTGACTCATACAAGTGCAAGGCTTATGCCGTGCTCGTCGTCCCTGGAAACGAGGATGAAAGCGACATCGAGAAACGCTATAGGAAAAAAACTTTTTTCCGCCAAAAGCTCTCGGCGATAGGGGGCGACGTGTATTGGCTTTTGCAGGCTTTAGAAGTGCTCACAAAGCAGGCGGTGATCCAAAGCGGAGGACAGTTAGCCAATGACGACGGTAGCGGCATATTCTTCACCTCAGATGCCTTTCGCTTCTACTCGGAGAAGAGCGCTCTGGGATCGTGGGATACCTCGATGCAAAACAGGTATGCCGAAGCCATGATGTGTACTCCTCGATAAGAGTAAGAATAATGGAAAATAGATATCCGTGTGTGATTGTGAAGTCTGGTGTTCTCGACGTCCTCTCGCTTCTATTTCGCTAGTGACAACAAGACGCCCAAAGCACATAGTACACTTTCAGTGTTATATGCATATCCAGATGCGTATGCGTTTGCATATAGATTTGGTTTTCCTTCATTTTATATATTATTTGTTGATAGTGACCCTTTTCTCTTTTATATCTTCCGCTGGTCTGTCTTTTTTCTAGTTAGGTCGGCTCCACCACATATATTATTTGGAGCCGGCGTGATTCTGAGTCCTACCCGCTGCAGCTCCTATGTATGTTGATAAAACAACATCTAATACCTGGAAGAGGAACTGTCGAAGAAAGGAAGGCTGACTAGCGCAATGTCGGCGGCAGGCGCGCTCAACTGGCTCTTGAAGAAGTATATACATCTGCCTGGTGAGCTAGAAAGAAAAGAAAAAAAAATACAAGTTGTGGCACATTGCCCCATATCAGAGGCAGCTGTTGGCCTGGGTGCAACAGCAACGTCCGCCGAGCTGGCGACGCAGTTGTTCACGGGCATGGCGGTGGATAGCGGTAAAGAACCTTCTGCCGCAAAAAGTCGGAGTTTTTTAAGGCTTCCGCTAGTCCATTTCTCTCGGGATTCCTCAAAGTCAAACGTATGCGCCCTAATACAAGGGGAATACTGACGCATACGCTTGAGGGATCTCCCCTGGGATGAATTAGGGCGAGCTCTAACCTCTGGCTGCACTGCAAGCGTTCGCGACGAGCTCCAAATACGCCGCAACAAGTTGACTCCTATCATTCAACTGACCGGTACTGATGTGATGCCGTCTTATAGAGAAGGACGAGGACCATCAGGACACTTCGTCCACGGTCATAGGCCTTTCTTGTCTTGGAGATCGCCTACAGTCGTCGCCGTTGCTTCCCATAGTGCGCATCAAAACAGCTTATGGCTTCTGGATATACATACCGCCCACGTGGCCCCGGCGTGTACACACGCCGGGGCAGGGCGGAAGGGTCTGGCAAATGCTACGAGTTACATAAAACCCACACGGCCTACCGGCGTGCTACGAATTGCGTAAAGAGTGGCGGGCTATGGAATAAGCAAAGCAGCTACGTGCTACAAGCTACTACGTGCTACATAAACGCCCACCCTGGCAGCACCCGAAACGCCCAAAAGCAACTACTTCAAACGAATGAGGCAAACGGGCAACCAAATACATTCGCCGAGAGTCAAATACTTAGGCAGATCACTCCGGGCTTGCTGTTTTCGGTCTTCAGCATAGTGGCTTGGCGGAGCACTCCGCTCGACTCCGCTCGCCGTGAGATCCTCGCGCGCTCCCTGGCCTGGGTTTTGGGCGTGGATCCCCTACTCTTGGAGTGTGTTGCTTCTCCGGCGTGGCAGTGTCGCGAGGGGGGCCCCAGGCTTGTTGTTTTCGGTGCTCACCGTGGGGACGTCTACGGTGGGCCCTTTCCGTGGAGAGAACTAGGGGAGTGGCTTCGTTCTACGCTCGGCCCGCTTGCGGGGTTTTACTCATTGCGCCGCTTTGGGTTTTCCATCCAATAAACCACGCAGCTTTATGGCGTCGCGTTGCTGCCTACTTTTCAGCTGCTTCGCGTATGCTATCTGTGAGCCATTTACTTTCTCAGGCTTAAGATAGGCCGCGCCTGGTGTTATCTCTTAGCCTTCCTACCTGCTTCCGGCTTTCTCGAAAGGTGTGGGCATGCGTCATCTCAGGGCTTTGATCTATAAACAAGAACAACTTTACGCGAGTGCTGTGCGGCTTTCACGTGCTTGAGCGATGCAACCCGTGAGCCGCTTGCGCTTTCTTATAATATCAGAAAGCAAGCCCAAGCCGGTGGGCTTGCTGTTTGCTTATGGCCTACTCGAGCGGCTTTGCCTTTTGCGCTCATTCTTTTCTTATCGAAAAAGCGCCGCGCGATGAAGTTGCTGGGTACTTGTGAGCTGCTTAAGAGGTCCCATCCTTTGGCTCAGTTCAGGACCCTCATCCAAACCAAACGGCGCAACGCTATCTATGAAGCTGCTGGCCCTTTTGACTTGCTGGAAAGGTCTCACCCTCTGACCCAGCGCAGGCACCTTATCCAAAAGGGTAGCACGTCGGAGCTTGTGGCACGTAGCTGCTTTGCTTATTCCATAGCCCGCCACTCTTTCTGTGATGCGTAGCACGCCGGTGGGCCGTATGGATTTTATGTAACTCGTAGCATTTGTAAGACCCTTCCGCCCTGCCCCGGCGTGTGTACACGCCGGGGGCACGTGGGCGGTAATATAATCAATCCAAAAGTTATTTAATCAGCACCGTTATACAACCAAGCTCCCCAGACACAGGCGAATGATGATCCGCTTGTCTTCTTTTCTCAACTTGGTTAGGCTGTTTTCTCTTCACATACAAGTACAACAACTCTAATCTTGCAAGTTGCTGGGAAAGAGTACTGGCTTTACCACAGATATACCCAGGCCAGCAGCAGTGATGGTCTGTTCCCCGAGGAAGGGTATTATGAGTGGTCGCATGGCATCCTCAACCTCATTCTCCATTTACAACTTTTTACTTCCGAAACAAATCAAATCGAGTTCGAATGTGAAAAATGCTAGGTCATCAATACTAAAGATAGCTGGATATGATCATTTCTAATTAACTTGGCGCGACTTTGTGGCGGACTTGGGACTGGACGATGAGACACCAACGACGTCGGGCCTATCGCTCTCGGCAGCAGTCGTGCAGAGTGTTGGGGACAAGGTCGCATCCTGGAACCACAAATTCGAATCCTTACCATCACCATCTGGTCCCGGTGATGTGGGAATCTTTTTCGATTCGAGTCAATGCGGGCCAACTTATTTCATTGTCGCGAATGGAAATGAGGAGGAGCTCGTTACGTGGAAGAAGATTCGCAAACTGCGCAAGATTTTCGGCAGAACATCAAGATCAACATCAAGTGTAACCGCAGACCAAATCCAAAAAACAGACGAAAAGTGGTTTCAGGATACAATGGAGCAGCTCATCGAGGCCGAGATGGAGCCGCAAGAAGTGACCGACAGTACGCCAGCAGAAAAGAACAAGAAGATCCACATCAAACTACCTCGAGTCTTCTTCACACCAACAGCTCTTGATCGCTATAGCAAAATCCTGAAGAACAAGAGGAAGAAAAAGTCCAAACATTTTGAGGACCTGGAAAAGAGAGACCGCGAGGTATTCAAAGAATCTGCAGGTTCAACAGATAGTAGCCATCTCTTCAACTCGCAAGAAGTCCTCATCGTCATCGAACACATCAGCGCAAAAATGAATGAACAAGAAGGCCAAACTTCATTCCAGGCAGGGAACATAAACGTTGTCACAAGATGCCCCGCCAGCGCAGCAGTTGCTTTTGTTAAGCATGGTAGTTCACTACAGGTGCAGCTAGCTCCGTTTGAGACGCCTTCTAATATATAACCAGCTGCTACTGGTCCTTGAAAGCAATCAAATAGTGTTCTAAATGATAGCACTTACCTCTTTAGGTAGCTCTCTAATCACAGCGCATCGACGCCGCGTTTGGCTGAGAAATATTTTACCACCAACCGGATGTATTGCAAAAGCATGTGGAGCATGATAGACGGGTCGTGCGAGGGGCGACAAGACTTTCCTCCAGGTTGCGGAATGAGTGTCCGCGACGAACTGGAGCGAATTATCGACAAACAGACTCCGATCATTAACATTCGGGAGGACAAGAAGAAGGGATTATTTTCTATTCCGTCTTGGGAGTGGAATGACAAGGAAAATAGAAAAGTATTCGAGCTACCGATTACAGAGAAAGAGCTATCTAAAATTAGAAGCAAATATGACCCAGAGGCGTTTCTCTTTCCTCTCAGAGAGTCTAATATGATTGTACAATCAGAACAACCGGAAGCCCTCGTTGGTCAGGAGCAGTCTTCTAGCACACTTGAGTTGCAGAACAATGCAAATCTCCAATCACAGAACAAAGATGGTATGATTGAACCGACGGAAGAAGTGAATAAAGGCGCAGCCGCCGACCTCCCCGTGTAAGATGCTAAAGAACATCGTGCATGTTGTCGAAAAACCGTTTTCGGTTGACGATGTCGGAACTAACTTCGTTCCCAAAAGTACTCATGGTGTTCTCCCACCTTACACTTGATCTGCTAGTATCGCCGTGATCTGCGATATCTGTTTAT